GGTCATGTTGAGTCATTGGTTTCCCTCTCGGTGGTGTTGAGAAGTCTGGTGATACTGCATGCTGTTGGCAGCCACCATCGATTATTGCTGGCCAACAAGTGCCTGACAAGATTTGTTCTTTGCAGCCTCTGGCTAGCTAAGCACAGCAGCCAGCAACACCCCCGCGCCGTCTTAGCCCACAACTTCTGCTCCAGCAAATCCTCCTGCATGGAGGCAAGCAGGTTTTCAGATCTCTTCTCCCGTCTTCGACCTCCCACACCTCACCCGTGCTTGAACCTAGGAGTGATCTGGTAAGTTCCCATCCTCAGTGGCTCACAGGAGATAACCCTCCCTCTTCTCCTGTGGCTCCTAGGGGCTCCCAGGGACAAAGCATGGACCACTAGCTCTGATAACCCTGCAAGCAAGCAGGGTTATCATCGCTACAGCCCAGACTGGTACTTGATGTTGTTACAAGGACTGGACTGAAGCCAAAGGAACAGCAGGCCACAGGGACCTCAGGCGGATTCAGCAGGCAATAGTCATTTATTCACAGAGGTTTGGGTCAGGAGGGACCTTACCAGATCGAGTCCATCCCCCTGCCCTGGGCAGGAAAGAGCGTTGGGGTCAGACAACCCCAGCCAGGTGCATGTCAAGCCTCCTCTTGAAGACCCCCAAGGTAGGGGAGAGCACCACCTCCCTTGGATGCCTATTCCAGATTTTGGCCACCCTTACCCTAAATAGTCTTCCCGATGTCTAACCTAACTCTGCTCTCCATCCGTTTGTGGCCATTGTTCCTGCTTACTCCAAGGGGTGCCCTGGTAAACAGAGCATCTCCTATTCCTTGCTGCCCTCTTCCCACCCCCAGATGAATTTGTAGGTGGCCACAAGATCCCCTCTCTGCCTTCTCTCACGGAGGCTGGACAGATCCAGGGCCCTCAATCTCTTCTTGTAGGGCTTTGCCTACAGGCCCCTAACCATAGGGGGCTTCTTGCGATAGACACAAGTCTCATCTCCTATGAGCATACACAAGAAACAACTGGAGCCCTAACTTCCTTCCCTCCTGTTCCTGTTTAGCCACCACCTCTCCCTTTGCTTGGAGCACTGTCTGGCAAGACCCTGCATGCCTCTTGACAGGCTAGCAGGAGCAGCCACCTCCTTTCATAGAAAATGAGGGTTGGCAGGGACCTCAGGAGGTCAGGTCTAGTCCAACCCCCTGCTCAAAGCAGGGCCAATCTCAACTAGATCATCCCAGCCAAGGATTTGTTTAGCAGGGTCTTAAAAGCCTCCAGAGATGGAGATTTCACCACCTCTCTGGCTAACCTGTTCCAGTGTTTTATACTACCCTCCTAGTGAGGAAGTTTCTCTTAATAGAGAGTTCATCCCTCTCTTTAAACTAGCTTCTCCCTTAGGCACAGCAACTCTCCTGGGCCACATGGGTTTGGAGACTAGATCACTGTCCCCTCCAGTTCAGAGTCCTTCCAAAGCCCTTTCTACTGAACCGCAGCCTCCCCCCGTGTCCTCAAAAGACCAAGGGATCCTCGAGATAGGGCTGCAATCAGCTGTACAGCTTAGAAACAAAAGCTAGAGCCTTTGAATCCCTATAAAGTGGTTGACTGACGCATCCCACTGCTTGAACACAGTGTGGTACAGATATGGGCAGGACAGGTCATTCTTCAGACTACGTAGACGCTGGATGTACTAATGCTTCCAAATAGCGATTTCAGGGCAAGCGTTACACACACAGTCCCCTTAGCCAACAAAGCTGTGAGCCTTGGTGTTAAGAGCCAGGTTTACACAATTACAGAAAGTCTGCAATTACGCACCATTACAGGAACCCACATACTGTCATATTACATAGTTTACACTGTCTGGGCAGCCAGAGACTTTATCAGATTAACACAGCTTTTACAAGACAGACTCAAGTTGCCTAGAAGTCGCTTTTGTGGGGGTGGGGAATACAGGTGCCGAACAACGGTTTGGGACACAAATATAAAAAGGCTTGCAAGAATAAAGGAAAATATTTAAAAGCTTTTCAACTTTCATTCAAACACAAGAGTTATCCTGAAAGGGGGGCACAGATGACATTCAAAAGTTGACGCAACCAATCTACTTGCTGAAAAAGCATGGAAAACAAGGAAACGGCACCAACGGTAGAAGTAAATGAGGCTGTGTAGGTGTCCCGATCAATAGTACCAGGTGTCCCTAGTAATGCGAGAACGAAATCTCTTCTAACTCCTATATTTAAAGATCAGACCTGAGAATATCTTCATAAGGGAACACAGAGGTCTAAGTACACACGGTGGGATTTTCAACAGCGTTCCTCACTACGCGTCTCTGCTCCCAGGTGGATTAGTGGGATTTTGACTGCTGACGTCCCTGGGACTTGACATAAGCCCATGTAGTACACTTCTGAAAACCCCAGCCAGATGACAGATCTCATTTTTCAGGCAGCGTTTCCGAGATGGCCTTTGATGCTCAAACGAAACAAGACAGCATTGGGGAAAAATGCAATAAGAAATCCCCAATGAGCGCTAGAGCCCAGCACCAACCCCCGCGTCCCGTTCCTTCAGGATGAGGTTTCAAGCAAAGCATAAGTGACTAGCTACAGTCCCACCAACTGCCAGGTACAGAAAGACGTCATGTCTACAGGTGTAGGACTGTGCATTTCACAAATTAAATAGGATCCTCAACATCAGGGCATTTCTTCTCCTCTAGGAAAACGTGAATACTGCTAAATCCCCAAAGTACAGACACTATCTTGTCACTCGCTGCATTTGCTTGCAGTATTTGTCGTCAGCCATGAGAGGTCTCTCTGCAATGTGAAGTTCCCGACAGAGTGCGATTTGTTGGCAAACAAAAGCAGCAAGGCTGGAGCTCAAGCTACGTGGAAACCTGTACATGCATCTATAGATGACGCCAGTTTTGTTAACAAATGTCTCCGATTTAAGACAAATGTGCCATTCAGTGCATCCCAGAAGGTGAAACACGTTGCTGAATCTATCAGCTCAATACCTAGAGGAAAACCAGGTGGGCTCTTCAAGGCTGCCATGTGCAATCACACAGCTGCGATGCAATCCTGGGCTTACCTTCTCAGCTTGTGGATATTTGATCTCTGGGTCTCTCCACTCCTTGGTGATCCGTTTCCTGTACTGATGGCACTTGGGAATGTAGGTGCAGCCAACGTCCCCCAGTTCCGGGTAGAAAACTTGTAAATCCCCTCTGGAAAGAAGCAGCAGCAAAAGAACCGGAGGTGAGGCTGGGTTGCATAGGGTTACTTTGCAAGAGAAATGAGGGGGTTTCTGAAGGAAAGGAACCAGGGATTGGATCGTGGAAGGAAGCGAACCCTTAGCCCACCTACGCATGCCTCAGAGCACTACTGTTATAACAGCTGGGGTCGTGCCAGTACCCAGCACAGACATCTGTCCCCTACCGCATTACCTAACATCACAGAAAAACACCCGTCGACACAAACCAGGAATGAATTGCACTGTGGTCACGATTACAGGTGAGCTTTGGGCACGGTACAGACAGATAAAAAGGATCTAGTGTGGCCTTGGGTTAGCCAAATGGTTAGCCCAAATGAGCACGGCCCTTGTTGAGAGGAGACCAAAGGAATAGGTGCAGTATGCACAGGACTGCGCATGGTGTGCAGGAGGGCAGAGAGTTCAAAGCCAGACGTAGGGATCGTGATGTGTGGGAGGGAGTATGGCTAAGTAGTGAGGTTAAGTCTACACTTCAGTTAATCATTTGGAAGCTTAGTTGAAGTTGCTGGTTTTAAAAGAGCATTTAAGTTCAGCTTGGAAAAAAAATGGAGAAGCGATTTTTAAGCAAAAGTCCTGAGCGACAACGCTAAAAATATACGTCTGGAGAAGAGACGTGATCTTGTTCCTAGCACTGGCTTCCTATCAAGGCTTCTGTATCTAGTGTCAAAGTAATGATCTCTCCCACCTCTCCTACATTGGCTGGTAACTGTAGTAGCACATTATTTCCAAGTAGCCCAGCTGTTAGATGAGAACAGCATTGTGCAAGTATCTATTTCTCTACCTTGCAAAACATCTCTACACTCCCCTCCCTGCCGCGGTTCTTGTTCGACTGCATCCAAGTTCTTCATTTAAAAAGAGTGATTGTTCCCCAGCAAAATCAAATCTCTGTATAAAGCCTCTAAGCCTCCAAAAGCAATTTGTTTCTTTGGAATTTCTCTACAGAAGAGGTGTCTTTTTTCTGCTTTAACTTATTTCAGGGAATAGTTGTTATACAAGAGACTGTCTTAGAGGTCAGGAACGACTAGACTTGCCCAGCTACGGTTGTAAGGACCAAGTTGGTATAAAATTAATGCAAAAACTCCATGTCCCAGCATGCAACGCGTCACCTTGGTCTGACCCGAAACAAACTTCAGAACAAATACACCGCCGGAGTTATTTCTTCCATCCCATGCAGCTGGAGTTCTGGAGTCCGCCGACCCAGAAAGTTACAATCTGCATTTATGAAAGGCCCAGAAAACATTGCCATGTTATCTGGCTTTTCGGCCACAATCGGGCTGCATGATTCAGGGCACTGTTTTTTTGTTGCATGAGTCAGGAAGGAAGGAAGGAAGCTTCACCTTCCTTTCCCACATACTGTGTGTAGCTTTGTATTGCTCGGGGAACTGCCTTCTTTTAAAGAAAGACTATTCTGGCTTAATAATGCTAGAAGGAGTAGATTACCCAATGCCATGGGCTACTGCAATGATCTGGCATCGGAGGCAAGTCATGCCTACCAGGACTTGGGTGCCAAGGCATTTGAATGTGTAAAAGAGACAAGTGGAAGTCACTCACTGGCAGAACTGGGCATCTGGGCCATCCAGCTGCTCAAAGTCGCAGGTCTCCACAAATTCACTATGCTGCAGGGTCTTGCTTTTCCAGGCAGCAATGCCAACTAGGCCCATGGCCAACAGGACAGCGACCTGCAGCTTCATCCTGTCCTGTATAAAGGAACCAAGAGACAGGAGGTTAGAGCTTCCCCCAGGCCATCACTGCAAGGCCAATCCTATTGTATGCAGGCTTCCTTTGGGCACCAACATCAGTACATTAGCTTCCCAAATAGACAGGCTTCCATTCACAGCAGATAGGCATTCTCCCTCCGCCCTAAACCCACGTGCACTCTCTTTCTCGATCCAGCTCGAGAGCGTGGAGACCATTTTCAGCTGATTACCAATTGCACCAGGAGCGTGAGAACATTTCCACTGCATCTGTCAGTGCTGCTCATCAGCTAGTCCTGGAGACAAGCTACAGACAAAGCAAACTCACTCTTACATACCGCTTTTGCTTTGCCAATTCTACATCATTTAATTCCAATTATGTCAAGCAGTCACTGCATTTCCTAATGAGGTATGGTGCCAGGAAATGCTGAACGCCTGCCGGGCTCTGTCAGCTGCTTGTCCTTAGCCAGACCCCGCTGCTTCAAGGGCCCACTCCTGCTGTGCATACAAGACACGCGAACAAAGCTTGAGGGGGGGAAATAGCAAACAGCAAAAGTGCAGCTGACTGCATAGAGGTGGGAAAAGCAGGTTTCCACGTTCCTTCCTCTGATGCCAAGCCAACTAAGATGGGCACACTGCTCCTCCACAACCCCAACACACCCAGGTCCCCCACTCTATGCCTTGCTGTCCTCTTTTCTAGCATCAGCCAGTCACCACCACCTCGCTGGTTTTAAAAAGAGCATTTCAGCTCCTTCCCAGATGCATCCTGCTGCACCAACCTAGAATTGCAGCTCAAGCCAAATGCAGCTGGAGCGGACAAGGCCAGGGCTTGGAGGCACAGGACCCCAGGGGTAAGGGATGCAGTGATCTGGGGAAATGCCCCACTGGAGCAGGATAGTCAGCTGGGGAAGATCCTGAATGGGGAAAGCAGGAGACCCGGGCTCTACTCCCTACCCAGCTACTTTGCCACCGCATGAAGTTCGGCCAGCGATCTCCTCGGCTCCATTTCCTCACTCACCCTTGAGAGCCTCCGTCTGTTTACAAGGCAAACGCTTCAGGGCAGGGTGGTTGTCTCACTGCATGCGCAAGCAGCACCCAGCACCGTGGCAGGATGGTTGTCTCAGTGTCTATAGGCACTGCTGCAGCCCAAACAATAATGTGCCGTACAGCCGCGTCTTTGAGCGCTGGATGGGCTCCCGCTCCCACATCTAGCACCCTGCCGGGCAAGGGTCAGAGCAGACATCCTCACTGTAGCTCAGACACCTGGGCAAAACCAAGACTTCTTTCTCCTGCGTAGTTCCCGTGACCCCTGTGGACCTCTTCAACTGACAAGGCAAAGCTAGGCACACACTCTCCCATTTAGGCCGCAGGTCAACCCTTAATGCTATTCAAAATCCTCGGGTCAGAAAGAGACACAGGGGCAGGATGCTCATCTCAAAAGCGTTGTCTGCAGTTATAGTACCTCCAGGCCCTACTCAGAAACCGTGTTGCCCTCAATGCTGTACATGCACCTAGAAAGAGACCATCCACAACCTAGAGTTTGCAGTGGACACAACCCAACCCAACCCAACCCAACCGAGTATCGGAGATGAAGCGGCTTGCTCAAGAGATCGGACCCAACCCTGAGCATTCGCAACCAGCCTATCCTTTCTGCTCGACTTTCTGGCTCCTGTCGCATGGCATGTCCCCCTTCCCTGCAGCATCCAACCCCGTTCTCGCCCCTGGGGTTTATCCCTGCGAGGCAAGGATGGAGAGGAAACTGCGTTGCCAGTTTGAGGTTTACCTGGAGCAGAAGAACTGGGCCGGGCAGGAACAGGGAGCTCAGGGGGAAGGGCCCGCCTCGAGGCCGCAGATAAACACAGCAGCTGGCTGGACTTTAACCCTCCATCACGTCTCCAGCCTGGCCAGAGTGACAGGCGGCAGGTGGCAGGGAGGGAAAGTAAAACAAGCTGGGAAACGGGAGCTGCTGTCTATTGGGTCCTGCCACCGTCAGTCCTCTCTGCGCTGGCAGTTGGGGG